GAGGCCAGGCACAGTGGCACATATCTGTAATCCCAGCGGCTTGGCTGGCGGAGGCAGGAGGATTGTGAGTTCAAAGCCAGCCTCAGCAAAAGTGAGGTGCTAAGCAATTCAGTGAGACGCTGTCTTTAAATACAAAATTGGACTGGGGATGTGGCTCAGTGGCTGATTGAGTGCCATTGAGTTTAATCCCCAGTACCCACCCTCTGAAAAAAAAAAATTTTTTTTTAAAGGAGATTGGATGAAAGAAAAAAATGTTTATCTTTTAGTATCTTTTTTTTTTTTTTTTTGGTACCAGGGATTGAACCCAGGGTGCTTAACCACTGAATCACATCTCCAGGCCTTGCTAAATTGCTGGCATTACTGGCATGCACCACCATATCACACCATCTCTTAGTAACTTTAATGGCACTATTTTTTTTTTCTTGTTTTTCAAATATGGACTCTGGGCACCTTCATTGTGCATTGGCCCTATACATTATATATCTGGACCCAATTATTCTGTACTGCATTGCATAAGCTGGAAACTTATAAACACTTAAAAGTTAGAATTCTGCATACAAAGTAGGTTCCACAATTAGAAGCACTTGCAAGAGATTTGAATGGAAAAACAAGAAACAGGTCATTCCCTGCTACTTTAGGCAACATTCCTTAGGCAGATAGGGTTGCAGAGATACCAATATCCATCTCCAATTTTGTTGAAGATATGACAAGAATATTGCAGTGGCCAAGGCAGTAAGCCTTCACTCTTCCAGAGTATCAATGGTTGCTATGATAGTTTAGATCCTGTCCTTCTGAGCCCTGAATCACAGCTACAGTGAGGAGTTCTTGAACACAGTTACTGGTAGTCTGAAGTTTTTACAAATCATGTTTTAATCTTCAGCATAAAGCCTATTACTCCAATCTTTCTAATGATTTTTGTAAACACCTAAAATCCCCATGTTGAATCCTTTTCTGCCTAATATACCTGATATACAGTTGCTCAAAACCGTCTCCAAAATGTCAGATATTATAATGGGCTATCGTCTACTATACCCCCACCAGTAATGATAAAATTAAGCTAAATGCCTGGTCAATTTAAAAACCACAACACACAACTTGTATGTATTTATTAAATCTTTATTTTAAACAAACCTGGGGCTGGGGTTGTGGCTTAGTGGTAGAGTGCTCTTGGCACTGGGTTCAATTCGCAGCACTACATATAAATACATAAAAGTAAAAAAAAATGAACAAACCTGGAGTTTATTTGACAATATTGATCACTGTCATGACTTTCCCAACTTGGATTTCTAGATTTCAAATTCATGACTTATTCTAACATCACTTCTATGTTGTCAATGTAAATTAGAAAACTTGAAATTCCATTGCTCACAACCTTGATCAGGTTTCAGATTCAGATTTTTACCACTAAACAGAAAAGCTCCAGGCCCAACTTCTCCCTGAAGCTACTAGGCACATAGTTGAGTCTCTAACCCCACTCACCCTCCCCTCCCCTGGTCCCTTTACCCTTCCTTTCCTCAAATGCCAATTGGTGGGGACATCATAAACCCTCCCTCTCATTAGCCAAGCTCCTGTCCTCCAGGAGCTCATGGTTAGTTGGGAGAGACAGAAGAGTAAATAAAATCCAATCACATTGTAAGCTTTTTATTCCATTAGCAACTGTAAAAAGATTCCTGGGGCAGGCACAGCGGCGCATGCTTGTAATCCCAGTGGCTTGGGAGGTTGAGATAGGAGGATCCGAGTTCAAAGCCAGCCTTGGCAAAAAAGTGAGGTGCTAAGCAACTCAGTGACCCGTCTCTAAATAAAATACAAAATAGGTCTGGGGATGTGGTTCAGTGGTTGAGTGCCCCTGAGTTCAATCCCTAGTACCAAAGAAAAAAAGATTCCTGAGGGGAGAGGCCACCTTGTGGTATGAGGATAAGATTCCAAAGATTCTAAGATGATGGGTCCTATTAACTGAAGAGCCATTTGAACATGTCCAGTGGTCCTACTAAAACATGATTTTGATTTAGTTTGTTATACTGTGCAAGTCTATGTGTATATTTTAAGTAGTCCTATATCAACTGCAAATAATGGGAGTTTTCTCTTTCTCTTCAAATCTTCACACCTCACATTTCTCTTTCCTTTCAGCACTGAGCAGGGCATCTCATGATAGCAGGAACCCTTATTTAGATCCCAACTCTAGAGAGAATGCATTTAAAGTTTTTCATTAAGAATGACATTTAGCAGGGCACGGTGGTACATTCCTGTAATCCTAGCAGTTCAGGAGGCCAAGGCAGGAGAATTCTGAGTTCAAAGCCAGTCTCAGCAAAAGCAAGACACTAAGCAACTCAGTGAGACCCTGACTCTAAATAAAATACAAAATGGGGCTTGGTTCAGTGGGCAAGTACTCCTGAGTTCAAGTACTCCAGTAGCCCCCCACCCCCCAAAAAAGAATGACATTTAGCTGGTTATGATGGTAGACACCTGCAATCCCAATGACTAGGGAGGCTAAGGCAGGATTGCAAGTTAAAAGCCAGCCTCACTGATTTAGCCAGACCCTGAAATAAAAAGGGCCAGGAATGTGGCTCAGTGGTTAAATACACCTTGGTTCAATTGCTGGTATCAAAAAAAAAAAAAAAAACAAACTTGCAGGCATGGGTAGAGTACATGCCTACCATGTGTAAGGATCTGTGTGTGATGCCCAGCCACACACACACACACACACACACACACACACACACACTTTTGCTGTGGGTTTTTGGCAAACCATTTATCAATTAAAGAAATACCCTTTTTTTACTGACAGAACAATTTTATCATATATCATCAATTTTATCATATATAGGTGTAACTCCATTAACTTTTCCCAAATCTACAGAAATATTATTTTCCTCAACATGAATTACACTGAAAAATATTTTTTCTGACATTAAATCACCCCTGTTTTTTTTTAAATACTAAGGATTGAATCAAGGAGTATTTTACCACTGAGCAACATTCCCAGTTCTTTTTATTTTGAGACAGACTCTAGCTAAATTGCTTAAGGCCTGGATAAATTGCTGAGGCTGGTCCTTTGGCCTCAGCTTCCTGAGTTGCTGGGGATTATAGATGTGAGCTACCATGCTGAGCTAAACTCTTTATTATTGTAAGACCTAGATGTAGACATACACTATGTTAGGATTTTTGCACCAGTGTTCATAAGTGAAATGAGTTCATCTTTTATTGCATTATTTTCACTAGATTTTGAAATTAAAAATCAGCCTGGGGCTTTGTGAAGGGGAGGTGCCTGATCACCTTTGCAATTTCACCAATGTATTTTGTTATATTTAAGCTTCATGTTTTTTTCTTATACTAATTGTGTCATTGTGTACTTTCAATATTTTTCCCCTAGGAATTTTTTTTGGGGGGGTACCAGGGAATGAATGCAGGGGCCACATTCATAGTCCTTCCCTGCCCCACCCACCAAGTCCTTTTTGTATTTTATTTAGAGGCAGGGTCTCACTGAGTTGCTTAGCTTCTTGCTTGTGCTGAGACTGGCTTTGAACTCGCAATTCTCCTGCCTCATCTTGAGTGTCTCACTAAGTTGTTTAGAGCCTTGCTAAATTGTTGAGGCTGGTCTCAAACTTTCAATCCTATTGTTTCAGTCCCCTAAACCACTGGGATTATAGGTGTGTGCCACCACATCCACCTTAAAACTTTTGAGACAGGGTTTTGCTAAATTGCCCAGGTTGGCCTGGAACCTGTGATCCTCCTGCCTCAGCCTTTAAAGTACCTAGGATTATAGGTATGTGCCACCATATCCAGCTATTTCATTAATATCTACTCTTCAATTTAACTTTTTATTTTTCAAAGTTTACTAAGATCTATTCCAACTTTCTGCATTGGGTATTTATGTAATCTGTTTTGTTTCTAGTTAAACTTCATCTGTCAATAATAATAGAATTATTTGTAGTTCTAAGAAACAAGAAAAATCCATTTAAAAATCCAATGGTAACATTTTCCCATCTACATCTATTTATCCAGATACATATATGATACAATTAAGAGATGATATTGACACAAATACAAAACAGTGTGTCCTCAAGGATTCATGTCTTGAATTTAATTCCCACTGTGAGATATTAAGAAACTTAATCCAACTATGGTGTTTAGAGGTGAGGCCTTTGGGAAGTGATTAGGATAAGGTCATCAGGGTAGAAGATGGAATACTAATGGCTTTGTAAGAGAGACCAGAAGGTATCCAAGTATACTCTTCATCTCTCTACATGTGATATCCCATGTCACCTCCAGATTCTATTAGCAAGAAGCATATCACCAGATTCCCCTTGGTCCCGGACCTCAGAAACAGTGAGCTAAATAAACCTCTTTTTTTAAGGTTTTGGACATTTTATCACTCACTCCTTAGAGGTAACCTCTTTTCTTTATGCATGTATCACTGTGACTGGCTCAGTTGTTTCTTTTAAAATTAAAAGGTTGAACTAGGGGTGTATGTTGGTAGTAGAGTGTTTGCCTAGCATGTGCAAGGCCCTGTAGTTTGATCCTCAGCACTGGGAAAAAAAAAAAAAAGAAAGAAAGGTCTTGCAGTTTTGTTTTTTTTTTTCTTAGTGGTAAAAATGTACATCAGAATTTGAGATCAGCAGGCATGGTGGTATATACATGTTATCCAAGAGACTTGGGAGGTTGACTCAGACAACTACAAAATTTGAGGCCAGCCTCAGCAGCTTACCAAGACCCCATCTCAAAATAAAAAATAAAAAGGACTGGGGATACAGCTTAGCAAAATAGCACCCTGGATTCAATCCCCAGGCCAAAAACACCAGTAACTTCAAGAGAATATATTTCTATTCAAATGAAGTTGTTTTATTTTTTAAAACATTTATTTATTTATTTTATGTGGTGCTGAGGTATGAACCTAGGGCCTCACACATGCTAGGCAAGTGCTCTACCACTGAGCCACAGTCCCAGCCCCTGAAGTTGTTTTAAATATAAGTACTTTCATAAAATAAATCCCAAGAATGACATTTAAGTTTCTCCAGTACAATTTATTTTATTATTATTATTATTACATTTTAGTTTGCATTTATTAAGTATCTTAGATATATGACACTCAAAGTAACAGAGCTCTAGAGAAAGACCATTAATTAAGAAGATAATAGCCTTAGTGTCTTAGTATGTCAACTTTCTATTTATTTAACTCACTCACCTTCCATTGCAGATGCTTGCTCTCTTGTGGCCACTACTACATAATGGTCTTTCAGATGTGACCAAAGGGGCTGGGGTTATGGCTCAATGGTAAAAGTACATGCTTAGCATGTGCAAGGTCCTGAGTTCAAACCCCAGCACCAAAAAAAAAAAAAAGTGTTGGGGTAGATGGCTGAAGCTTGAATTTACATTTGGACTTAGGCCAAGTCTGTGACTCCATGAATACAGGCCACCAAGTATATTTGGGGTTTAGCCCGATGAAGTCTCTGATGAGGAATCTGGAAAAACTGGCAATTCTCTTAGGAGAAGAAAATATACCACCATCTAAATTGACAGCTATAGTTTTCTAACAGGAAAAATAAATAGCAAAGCGAAAGGGTATATAATAAACATGGAGAAAACACTCTGATAATAGAGTAAGTACAATGTGCACATACCAGAGTAAATGGGCTTCTCCCGAGTCCAAGCTCTTACTTTTATTTTTAAAAGTCTGATAAAAATTTGCTCAATTACATTTTATATGGTAATATTTAGTGAACTTTGTCCCAAAAGGCTATGTTTTAATTGATTTGTAAAAATAACAAAAGTTTATCATTCAGACTCTGGTCAATAAGAAAGAAAACATTGCTAGAAATAATAATAAATAATTCTGCACAAAAGGCCAAGTGACATAAGACTTACTATATTAACCAATATATTTTCTTTGTATTTACAATAAATCCATTTGTTAATACTGTGATAGAAAAAAATAAATCAGTCCACATCATGTAGTAGAAACTTTAAGGATGATCTTCTCACAATGAAAACATAAAAGGATTTTTAACACAGCTAAAACACTTTTCAACATAATGACAGTCTTGGGATGAAGCTAAAACTGACACAGTACTTTAGAATGGCTGTATCCTGGATACAAGGAACCAAGGGCATTACCATTAATCAAGCAGCAAAAAGTGGTTTAGTTTTTCCAGAACTATTTAAGTACAATAGTTACCACATGAGAAGTTACTTTTTTGAGTTAGAAAAGTAAAAACTCTAAATTGGGAAACTGCATTAATCAAAAACAGTCCCAAACAAAAAAAGCCATCACAGGAAAACAAGGCATTCTTCTAGGTGTATCATGCATAAAAGGGATAATTACGTAATAATTAATGACCAGACTAATAAATAAATGAGGTAAATTTTACAGTCATTAGAACAAATAAACTACATTTAACCACTAGTGCCATGCTGCCATTGTTTGTTTCAAAATACAAAATAATTACTCTAATGTCTAAAAACTATAAGCTTCAGAGATATTAAAGAGACACTGTAACAAAATATTATCTGAATATAAATTATCAACTCCAATATGATAGTTATCATGTAATTCTCATTTTTTATATGACGGTGCAAACATTGTAAAAGGTAGAAAAAAAGGATGAAAATAGACTGGCCAGAATTTAAATTACCAGACTAATCCATGATAAAAGTCTATAAGAGAAATAAAAATAATATTAACAAAATAGGTAACTTGATATCCTTTCTATATTCAGTGGTCTATGAGGATACAACCTCTAAACAAATTCATTACATCAAAGGCAAAAAGAGAAAAAACAAATCTCTTTGAAACTTTAGTTATCCAGCTTAAGCTCTGAAAGAAGGCTAATATTACCAAGAATTGCACCACTATCTATTTTAATCATTAGATATGAGAAAAATATTAACTTGAATGAATCAGTTATACCAAGAATTCCTACCATGCTATTATTATAGTATCTACCTATAGGTACCCTTGGTACAATAATTTATGTGTATAATAACTATTGATGACAGTACTTTTCATGGTATATCAATTTCCATTTTTACTTTCCTCTTTTACCTTGACACTTATATGCATTTATTTTATGTCTGATAGGAAATATTATTTTACAAATTCCTCGTTTCAATTACTGAAGAGGTGATTTAGAAACATAAATGGATGCACCTGCTAATCCTGAGATGATAATGATGGTGATGATGATGATGATGAAAGCAAACCCAAACCCAGATGATTTTTCATTCAAATTTTTGCTTTAGTTTTTTTTGGAAGATGGCTGGCAGAATAGAAAGAACAGCTAAAATCATCAAAATAAATACTGAGTTCCAGGAAACAGCTTCCCCTGCAGTTGTAAGCTGGTACAGTGTTGTTCCTGCTTTAATTGCTACAAAAGAGGGGGGTGCAACACCTAAAATAAAATAAAATAAAGCAAAAAGTAAAAACCATGAATTTTTTAAAATTAAGAATTTCTGTGTGCACAAAATTTCTCATAAGAATACAGCTATTTCCATTTGGAGAGACAATCGTGAAGAATCCAAAGCTGCCAGGCACAGTTGCACTTGCCTATAATCCAAGCAGCTAGGGAGGCTGAGACAGGAGGATCTTGAGTTCAAAGCCAGCCTCAACAATGGGGAGGCAACTCAGTGAGATCCTTCATAGCCAGCTAGGCCACTTAGTAAGACTGTCTCAAAATAAAATAAAGCTCTGGGCTGGAGATATAGCTCATTTGGTAGAGTGCTTGCCTCACATGCACAAGGCCCTGGGTTCAATCCCTAGTACCACCAACAAATAATAAAATAAAGCTCTAGGTTCAAATCCCAGTACCACACATAAAAAATAATGTGCTCTGATCTAGCAATTTCAAATGTAGGAATATTAATGTACATGAGCAAAAATCAAGTTTTAAAGAATGATGCCTTATAATAAAAATCTGAAAATTATCTAAACCTTCAAAGATAAGGTTGAGGACTGGGGGTGCAGCTCAGCAGTATAGCACTTGTCTAGTATGTGCAAGGTCCTTGGTTTGATCCCCAGTATTAAAAGAAAACAAAATAAAATTGAATAAATTAAATATAATTAATTAAGAAACATAAACATATTGAAATGTAAAGATATCCAAAACACTGGTAGAAAGAGCAGGTTATGCAAGAGTACATAAGGAACTTAGCTTAGTTTGATCCCCAGCACCACAAATAAATAAAGGTATTGTGTCCATGTTATTTAAAAAAATAATAATAATAAAACAAATTAAAATTTCTATCTATTTCATCTGTAAAACAAGGGGATGAGATACCCATATTGATACAACTGCTGATGAATTTTTTATAAAAGTAGCAACAGGATGCAGCTCAGTGTTAGTATTGCCTAGTATGAGCAAGGACCTGGGTTCAATCCTCCAGATCAAAAAATAAAATTAAGTTAAACAAAAAGTAGCAATAAGGGCTGGGGTTGTGGCTCAGTGGTAGAGTGCTTGCCTAGTACCTTTGAGGCACTGGGTTCGATCCTCAGCACCACATAAAAAATAAACAAATAAATAAAATAATAGTATTGTGTTTATCTACAACTAATATATATTTTTTTAAAATGTAGCAATTCCCAAAATCTAAAACAAAAAAAAGTAGCAATAAAAAATTGATTTTGACAATCCCCTAACACACACAAAAATTTTTATTGTTTCTTCAAAAAGGTCTAATTTCATTAGTATTAAGCTTTAACAGATATTCAATATGAAACATCTACTCATTATATCTAAACAATTCAATTTAAATTGGAAAGAAAGGCAGAGCACTCTTACAAAAGAACCACAAGAATTCAAAAAATATGTATGCATCTTCATGTCCATTGATTAATTTCAAAATCAAGTGGTCAGTTCCTTGAAAGCAAAAATGTGTGTCTCTCTTGCCTTTGGAAATCACTTTGGTAATACCCACAATAAATGCTGACTTCAATGAAATGAAAACTAGGATCAATCCACTACTGAAATTAAAAGTTCAATACTTGTTAGAAGACAAAGATAGGGGCTGGGATTGTGGCTCAGCGGTAGATCCTCAGCGCCATATAGAAATAAATAAAATAAAGGTATTATTAAAAAAAAAAAAAAGAAGAAGAAGATGACGACGATGACAAAGAGAATACAAATCAAGTTCTGCTTAGATTAGAGGTATGGCTCAGTGATAGTTCAGCATGAGCAAGGCCCCAAGGGTCAAACCCCAGCACTGGAAAAAGAAAAAAATTCTGCCTAATTCTGTATTATTAAAGAAATATTCAGTAGAAAGTGGTCTTTAAAGAGGTAATGCAGCCTGAAGCCTGAGGCAGTATAGCAAGTGCAAAGCCAGTCTCAGCAACTTAGTGAGACCCTGTCTTAAAATTAAAAAAAAAAAAAAAAAGAAAAGAAATAAAAGCACTGGGGATATAGCTTAGTGGTAAAGTGTCTCTGGGTTCAAATACCAATATCAAAAAATAAAATTTAATAAAAACATAATAAAACAAAGAAGTGACCCAAAACACTTAAATCAAAACAAACATTTCTGAGTAATCTATACAGGCCAGGCTTTGTGCCCAAGAGTTATACTGAGCTCTAACACAACATGAACTAAAGGCCTTACCTAGAAAAGTGCCAATAAAAAAAACTTTCAATGGCACATTTATCACAGGAGATGTAATATTAATAAACCAATTAGGCAGAAATGGCGTTATTCTCAAAAATATAATATAGTTAATGAGATGTTCTCTATGACGTTCAACCTGTCATAAGAAAAAAGATAATTAGCATCAGATAAAGACAATTTTAAAAATAAGTTGCTTTATGTAGCACCTTATTTCAAATTCTTGTCCCTAATATTTCAGAATTTACCCAGTAGAAGTGATTAAAATAGGGCTGGGTTTGTGGCTTAGTGGTAGAGTGCTTGCCTAGCACATATGAGGCACTGGGTTCAATCCTTGGCACCACATGAAAATAAACAAATAAAATAAAAGGTATTATGTCCACCTTCAATTAAAAGAAATTTTTTTAAAGGAAAAAAAAAAGTGATTAAAATAGAATTTGCAAATGACAAAACTGTATACCAAATGCTCATTACCATAGATAAATAACATGAGTTTTTTTGTTTTTAAATTGTGCTTACTGATCAATGTTATGCCACTCAAGTCCAACATCAGCTTTATGATGGCTCAATGATATTTGACACCTAAAATGCCAAATTTAAACGTATGAAAACTAGATAAAGCATACACTTCAAGTGGCCAATTTTTAATGCCCCTACCTTTCTACAATGTAATGAATTACTATATCACAACAAATCAAGCTCTGTGTGTTTTGTGTTGCTGATGATTAAACCCAGGGCCTTACACTGGCTAAGAAAGCACTCTACCACTGAGCTACATTTTCAGTCCCTAGTACCAATTTTTAAAAAGTCCAGATATCACGAGTGAACTCATTCATAGTTGATAAATGAGATTAGCTAGGTATATAGAAATCTTCAGCTGATTAAATAAATACACATTGATTATAATTTATACTGCCTTTGACCAACTGTTAAGTTTTTTTTTATTATTGTTGAATTTATTTCCATAACTATTTCTTACTTATTCTTTTTAGATATACATGACAGTAGCATGCATGAGATACATGTGTGTGTGTGTGTGTGTGTGTGTGTGTGTATACATATATATTTTTTTTTGGTGGTGCTGGGGATTGAACCCAGGGCCTGTGCATGTGAGATAAGCACTCTACCAACTGAGCTATATCCCCAGCCCTCAAGTGATTGACTTTTTTTTTTTTTTTTGATAGTTATAGATGGGCAGAATGCCTGTATTTCATTTCTCTATTTTTATGTGGTGCTAAGGATGGAACCCAGTGCCTTACACATGCTAGACAAGCAGTCTGCTGCTGAGCTACAGCCCCAGCCCAAGTGACTGACTTTTAGCCTTACACAAAATAGCTATTCCAAAAAAAAGCTTAAATAGTAAAACTACTTTAATTTTCATTACTGATATAGTGAAAGAACACTATACTAGAAGTCTAGAGACATAAGATTCTAAACCATTATAATTAAATATTCGTGATCTGGGGCAAAACATTAAATTGTTTTTAATTTCCTAATCTTTAAAAAAAAGGGGGTACAGCAGGATAATCTCAAATTCCTATGAGATACAATAGTTTATTCCTTCTGATTTTTTATAAAAATAGGATTTGCCTCACAATATTATGTTAGCCTTCTCGGTGTAGCAAGGTTTGTATTTGTAGGGATCCTGACTGAAGATAACAAAGTGTCTAATTATGTGGATACCTTCATACTGACCTGAACTTGTCTGCTGATTAAAGTTATGAAGACAAAGAATTAGGATTATCATTTCAGAGGATCTAGTGGTATAACTCAGTGACAGAATTTATGCTTTTTTTTTTTTAAAATATTTATTTTTTAGTTCTCGGCGGACACAACATCTTTTTTTGTATGTGGTGCTGAGGATCGAACCCAGGCCGCACGCATGCCAGGCAAGCGCGCTACAGCTTGAGCCACATCCCCACCCCCAGAATTTATGCTTTTAATGAGGAGGTCTTGAGTTTGATCCTGAACACCACAAATAAACTGATAAATAAAATAATCACTACAAGTAAAAAAAAATTTGCTTACAAAATTATTGTCAGGAAGGGCTGGGGATATAGCTCAGTTGGTAGAATGCTTGCCTCGAATGCACAAGGCCCTGGGTTTAATCCCCAGCACCATAAAAAAAAAAAAAAAAAAAAGAAAGAAAGAAAAAGAAAAAAAAAATCATTGTCAGGAGCAATGGTATATGCCTGTAATCCCAGTGATTCAGGAGGCAGGAATATCTCAAGTTCAAGGCTAGCCTCAGCAATTTATCAAGACTCACTCTATCTTTTTGGTACTGGGAATTGAACCCAGGGGAACTTTACTGAGCTATTATCTCCAGCCCTTTTTATTTATTTTGAAACAGGGTCTCACTAACTTGTTTAAGGCCTTGCTAAGTTGCTGAGGCTGGCCTTGAATTTGGAATCCTACTGCCTCAGCTTCCTGAGTCACCAGGATTATAAACATGTGCCACTATACCCAGCTAAGATCCTATCTCAAAGGTTCAATTTCCAGTACCAAAAAAAAAGCAAATAAATAGATATTCATATTTGCATACACTTGATGTTATAGATATTCATATTTGCATACCACTTGATGTTGTTTGGGTGAAAAGATAATTCTTATTATCTAAACTAGTTTTGTGCATAAAGTTTTGCTATTTGATTTAATACATAAATTTATGTACTTTCTACATAAATTAAATTAATATTAAACTTATGTAGGGACTACACATTGACCTCTCACTTAACCAAAGTTATATTACATAATTTGAAATAACCTGGACACAATTACACACACCTGAAGTTCCAGCTAAGGCAGGAGGATCACTTGAGCCCAGTCTAGATAACATAGCAAGATCCTGTTTCAAAAAACAGAACTAAACAAACAAACAAATACACGTTTACCTGCTGTGACCATTTTACTGCTTTCTCTGTTAGGTATTTGTACACAACTGGTCTTCCAACCAAATAGGAGAGCATATAGCAGAATGAGGCACCAAGTCCAGAACACTGAAAAATAATAATAAGCCATAAGCATTTTTTTTCCATCTTATTCACATGGATATATTCACCTGAGGAAAAGCTCAACTCATTAACTTCTTTGGGGGAATGGGGTGGCTACATTGCAAGTATTATAATCCAAATGAGACCACCAAAAACAAATTACCACTTGTGGTTAAACTTAGTGGCTAGAGCCAATTAATTAATGTTATCTTTTAGCCTAAGAATACAATTTCAGCCACCAATTTTTTTGTCACCTTCTATGCTTAAAAACACTTCCCCCATCCCTGAAACCTAACTCACTGTGCCCACCAACATTCTTAAACCACCTGAACTCACAAAACAATAGGAAAAAACAAGTCTAAAACAGCTTATAAATGTTAATGAGTCTATAATAACCCTGTTTTAGAAAACAATCCCTAACACCTCTTTAATGAGGGTTTTAACACATACCACTTAAACTCCTCTTAAATTAATGAATTTATACTTAAACAGTCCAGTGGGATACTTACCAAACAAACAAGAAATAAGGCTAGTGGAAAGGGATAAAGAAACCCTGAGAGTATACTGAGAAATATAGAGCCTGGAATAGCAAATGTTTGCAAGCTGTTAACTTTTAAGTTAAGGATTAAAACATAATTAAGTGAAATTTTAAAAAGACAAACTCAGCATTTCAGGAAAAAGTATACAGAAATTATCATGTTAATGAGATTACATCCATATTTCAGTTAAGGTTAAGAATCCCTTATCCAAAGTGCTTAGGACCATAAGTGTTTTGGATTTTTCCAGATTTTTAAAAATTGGCACCATACACATCTCAGAGATAGGAACTAAATCTATAGACTTAACAATTAAGTTCATTTGTTTCACATTTATATTATACACATAACCTGGAGGTAATTTTACACTAATTTTAGTGTGCCTATGTTTTGACTAAACCCTGTCACTTGAGATCAGATGGGGAGTTTTCCACTTATGTTATCATGTCAGCACTCCAAAAGTTTTGGATTCTGGATCATTTTGGATTCTAGATTTTTTGGATTAGGGATGTTCAATCTGTATTAAAAGACAAAATATGACTCCTCAGCTATAATGCTTCTAAGTGGATTATTTACTAAACAATAAATACCAAACTACAATTAATAAACGCAGTGCTAATAAAATTGTGCTATTAAAAGAAAACCAAGATTCAAATGTATGAATTTCCAAGATCACTGTAATGTCATGTGTAGCTAATAAAAAAAAAACATTCATTTTATATAATACAGAACTATATCTCAGCCGAGCCATTGAACATAGAAACAAAAGTCAAATATAGAATTTCTCTATTTTTCCCAACAATGTTCATTAGAGCATTGTTTTGTTTATTGTTTTCTCTGTGTGTGTTTTGAGTTCCGAATCTGATAAAAGATCATTCATTGCAAAAAAAAGAAAAAAAGAAAGAAAACCAAGATAAGTATCCAACATGTACCAGAGAGAGAGGAATTTAACAAATTTGGCAAAAAAGAGAAAAAAAGGAAAGTCTTTAGTAGTCTTAAATAACATGCTTCTCTAATGCATTTGTTTCAGGAAACAAGATTTCTGGCTGGAAATCTAGGTATATATAAGGTTATTAAGAATGTATTTAAAATTTAATTATGACAATTACCTCAATTAACTTAAATAAAGTTACCACTCATTAAAAAAACTAATAGGGATGGCTGGAGGCAGTGGCACATGTCTGTAATCCCAGTGGTTTGGGAGGCTGAGGCAGGAGGATCGTGAGTTCAAAATCAGCCTTAGCAATTAGCAAGGTCCTAAGCAACTTAGGGAGACCCTGTCTCTAATAAAATATAAATAAAGGGCTGGAAGTGTGGCTCAGTGTGTAAGCACACCTGGGTTCAATCTCTGGTACTTAAGAGAGAAAAAAAAAAAAAAAGAATAGGGTAGGGATGATCAAATACAGTAAAAATCACACACCTTGTTCTTTAAAATAGGTAACACTTTTTATACTGTCTTCTGATTCCTAGTTTTGGTTTGGACAACATTGCCACCCCTAAGATGATTTATTAAAAGATAAAGCAAAATGATATTCAAAGTATATATATATATATATAAAAAAGGGGGCTCCATAGCCATAATGCCTCTCTTTGTGTGTGTGGTGCTGGGGATTGAACACAGGGCCTTGTGCATGTGAGGTAAGCACTCTACCAACTGAGCTATGTGGCCAGCCCCTGCCTCTGCCTCTAACTTTTCTTTTTTTAATATTTATTTTTTAGTTGTAGTTGGACACAATACCTTTATTTCATTTATTTATTTTTATGTGGTGCTGAGGATCGAACCCAGGGCGTCGCACATGCAAGGCGAGTGCTCTATCGCTGAGTCACAATCCCAGCCCCAGCCTCAATAATTTAAGTGAGGCCTTAAGCACCTGAGTGAGAGCTTGTTTCAAAATAAAAAATAAAGAAGGAGTGGGGTGGTGGCTCAGTGGGTAAGACTTTATTATGTAAAATTTCAAATATCTGAAACTAGTATTAATGATGCCCAATATTAACTTTTTACTGTCATAAATATCCAGTCTGTGTTTGTTTTAATTTCCAAAATGTCTCTATTTTTTTTTTTCAGTATTGGGAATTTAACAACTCAGATGGCTTTAACATTGAGCTACATCCCTATCCATTCTTAATTTTTATTTTGAGATGTGGTCTCACTAAGTTGTCCAGGCTGGCTTTAAACTTGCAATCCTTCCACCTCAGATTCCAGAGTCCTTGGAATTATAGGCCTGACCACCATATCAGGCTTGCATTTTCTTAATAGTTATCTTTTTCAAATCAGAATCTAAAAAAGGCTCACATATTCTATTTGTTCAATATAGCTCAAGTATACCATACTTTTTTTGGTTTCTTCCACTTTATTTACTGGAGAAACTATCATTTGCCACTTTTTGGATATTCTGTTGTATCTTCAACATATTCTGTCCATTACCTTATGGTAATAGTTACCGAAGTATTTTTCTTTGTGCATGGGCAGGTGACTTGAGCTTAATTTTCTAGCTATTTAGACTTGAAAATTTCTAGCTATTTAGATTTCAATTCCTCTTTCCCAAAAAATCTTGGCTTTTTGTTTGTTTTGGGTTTTTTAGTACCAGGGATTAAACCCAGAGTGCCACATTCCCAGCCCTTTTTAAATTTTTTAAATTTTGAGACAGGGTCTCACTAGGTTGCTTACTGTCTCATTAAATTGCTAAGGCTGGCTTCAAACCTGCAATCCTCCTGCCTCAAGACCCTAAAGCTACTGAGATTTATAGTTGTGTGCCACCATGCCCAGCTAAAATCTTGGTTCTTAATGACCTTAACATAATTAACCGTTTGCTTCACATATTAAGGATACATAATACAGGGCTGGGGTTGTGGCCAGTGGTAGAGCGCTTGTCTAGCACGTGTGAGGCACTGGGTTCGATTCTCAGTACCGCATATAGATAAATAAAATAATGTCCATTGACAACTAAAAAAAAATATTTTAAAAAATACATAATACTGGGGCTGGGGCTGGGGCTGAGTGGTAGAACACTTGTCTGGCATGTGTGAAGCCCTGGGTTTGATCCTCAGCACAACATAAATAAAATAAAAGGGTATTGAATCCACCTATAACTAAAAAAATTTTTTTTAAAAAATACATAATACATTAGCAATATCATACTGAAACTTTTCCACATTGTAAATACATGAGTAACAATATTATTACTAACAACATAAGTACTAAAAAAAAAAAAAAAAAAAAAAAATCTAAGATTTCTTTTAAGTCTTTCTATTTATATGAATTTGCCCATTCTAGGTATTTCTTATTTGAAATTAGGTTTTTATTCAAGAAGGTATTAGCACTGCACTGCTGAAAACAGTGACCATATACTGCTATTAAGACAATGAAATACAGGAAGTCTGAACTGAGATGTGCTATGAATATAAAATACACACATCTCAAAGAAATAATATGAAAAAAAACATTTGTTAAAGTACCTCAGTAATAAATTTTTTTAGAGCCTAGTGTGTAGCTCAGTGATAGAGTACATGCTTAGCATACGAAAGGCCCAGGGTTCAATTCCTAGCACATCCACATGAAAATTTATAGTGATTATATGTTGTAATGATAAAACAACATTTAATACATTGATTCAAGTAAAATTATTTGAAAAATTAATTTCAGGTGGTACCATTAAATTTAAAAATTAAACCAGGCTTCCACCTATTTCTATTAATCAGTCATGCACTAGTAAAACTAAAACTGTTATATATACTCAAAGATAAAGTCTTTCCCTTTGTTCACTGAGTTTAAAAACATTAAGATCAAAAGTATAGGGCTGGGGTTGTGGCTCTGTGGTAGAGCACTGGCCTCCCATGTGTGTGGCACTGGGTTTGATCCGTAGCACCACATATAAATAAATGAATAAAATAAAGATCTATCAACATCTAAAATAAAAATATTTTTTAAAAAGATCAAAAGTATAAAGAATGTTATAAGAAAATACAGATTTAACAAATTACTTATTTTATTAAAAAATCAAAACCTGAATTAAGGGGCTGGGGTTGTGGCTCAATGGTAGAGTGCTCGCCTAGCATGTGTGAGGCACTGGGTTCGATCTTCAGCACCACATAACAATAAATAAAATATAGATACGGTATCCAATTACAACTAAAAAAATATTAAAAAAAAAAACTGAATTGATACTAACCAGTATCTTACTTAAAATTTTATATCAAACCTATGGGCATTTTACTACATCTCAGCCCTTTTTGCTTTTCATTTTGAGACAGAATCTCACTAAGTTGCTTAGGGCCTTGCTAAGTTGCAATCCTCCTGCCTCAGCCTCCTGGTTGCTGGGATTACATGCATGCACTAACATGCTTGGCATTTAATAGATTTCTTAAGACAGTGTATATACAATTAAATAACTTTCTAAATAGCTTCCTAAAACAGCCTATCAAAAAGAAAGGTGCAGGCTAGGGTTGTGGCTCAGTGGCAGAGCACCTGCCTCGAACATGTGAGCATTGGGTTCAATCCTCAGCACCACCTAAAAATAAAGAAAATAAAGATAATGTGTCCATATATAACTAAAAAAAAAAAAACCTGTAAAAACCTTTTCCAAAGTTTATACTATACTGAATATATTGTGTTGCTTGAAGTAGGAAACTGTAATAGTCTAAAAAAATAAAAGAAATGTGCACAAAATTTATTCCCAACTTTCTCCAGATTTTAATTTTTCAAATAGGGAGGATAACAATAAAAGTACCTACCTACAGCACACTACCTAAATACAAATCCATCTTCACCATGTATGTAAACAATTAATGTTTCCATTAGCAGTAAAAGCTTTTGTAAACATTTACTGTTAAATTGCTTATGCTAGAAGTAACTTCTCCAATATTTTTACATATATACTCAAAACTATTGCATAAGGAGATCAATTGTAGAAACATGTAATACCCAATGCAATATAAGTCCAAGAAAAGAAATGTTGTAACTCCACATCAAATACAGCCATAGAATGAGAAGTTATACTCCACTTATGTATGTTAAAATACATTCTCCTGTCACATATAACTAACAACATATTTAAAAAAGAAAACGCTATTAAATTTCACAGGACAAAAAAACCCAACAAACCAAAATTAATTCAGGAAATAAAAAAGGAAGTAAAAATACAAATACCTTAAGGGAACTAACAACATAGTTAATTTGCCTTTTTAAAAAAAGCTATTTTTAAAAACTTTCACAGACATTTGCCACTATGCCTGGAAGTTATGGATTAATTGACAAGGTATGTACAATTAAATAACTTTATAAATAGTTTCCCAAAACAGCCTTGTTAAGTAACATTTACAAAATCAGGAAGTAATCTTTCATTAATCAAGAAGATTTGGAAAGCAGGCTGTATAACAATGAAAGATAGGGCTGGGGTTGTAGCTCAGTGGTAAAGTGCTTGCCTATCACATGTAAGGCATTAGATCCTCAGCACCCCCCCACAAAAAAAAGAAAAAAAAAAAACAAAACAACATACATTTCCCAAAAAAAAGAAACTCCTTTGAATATTTATTTTCTTTTGAACTTTTGCAAAAGAAACTTCTAAATGAAGGGAAAAAAACATGAACAAAGGAGATTTATAAGATAACATCTATAAAAGCAAATGATTAAAAGCCAATTGTACCATTTTACAAACCTACTAGAATGTTTTTTAAAATGATATAACTACCAACACAAAATAATGTATTTTAAAAATTAATAAAATAATTATAAAAAAACCCCAATAGATAAATATCCTTAAGAATAAAGGGAAATATTTAATTAGTGACAAAAAGAATATCAAAAAATTTGATAATAGTCATAAAAATAAATGAGTTAAAATTAAGGTATAATTTTACATTTTCAAATATTTATTTAATATTATAACACTGCATTAACAATTTTTAAAAGGAAAAATAATTTATGATTACACACAACTAAATGACAGTTCTTTTAAGCCCTTTCTTGAACAAAACTACAAAGCATTTTTCAGTTAAAAGGATACAAAATATACGTAGCAAAATAAGCTACAAGTACTTGTACATAAAAGGTGTCCTTATATTTGGATAAAACTTTTCCTAGAGCCTTGGCATCATCCATATCTCTGGGAACCTTCATATTCACTCTTTCTTCTCTGAAGAAATAAAATTAAAGTGAAAAAATTTAAAACAGAATTTTGCCATAATAAAACCAAAGTTAAGATCAAAACATGGAGTTTTAGCCAAAATGATTTGATGCCATGATCTCCGTTAAAGGCAAATTTTTTAATGTTCAAAAGTCTGTAAATTATTTGTTTTTAAATTTCTCAAGATGTAATCTATATATGAAAGTTTAGAATGACCTAAACTGAAGGTTAAAAACATGAGCTCCAATAATTGCTTTAAATTTTAAATTTACCAATGAAAAATGAACCACTGATGTTAGCATATTAAAAACAGATTTAACATCATTTTGGTTAATCTTCATGATAATCTGAAGTCAGCAATCACTCAAAATGGAAATTAAGTAAAGCTTTCAACAAAAGTCACCATTCACAACTTTTCTGAAGTATTACAGCTCAAAGTTCAAGAAAAACGTTAAAACACTTTTCCTTTTCTATTAATTTTATTTCAAATTTGGTGCCTTGTTTGGATTTCTTACTTATAAAAGCCTAAATAGTCATCTTTGTGACTTGATTTGGGTTTTTTGTTGTTGTAGTTTTAATGGTACTAGAAACTGAACCCAGGGACACTCTATTGAGCTACATTCTCAGCCATTTTCTTTTGTGATAGGGTCTTGCTAAATTGCCCAGGCTGGCCTCAAACTCCAAACCTCTTGCCTCAGTTTCCCAAGTTGTGGTATAAGCCAGAAACCCATGTTCATCTTTACATTTAACATATATTATGCTTATTTGCAACTGAAGAACAATGTTAGAGGGCTTTTTTATTTTATTTACTGACTGCTGAGACAGGTTCTTATACTGTTGCCAGTTGGTCCCAAATTGTGGAGTCAAGTGATCTTCCCACCTCGGCCTCTTGAGTAGCTGGAACTACAGGTGTGCACTACCATGCTCAGCTGAATGGTGTTTTATTAAGTCCTATAAAAATATCTGATGTCTGGTGTGGTGGCACATACCTGTAATCCCAGTGTTTGGGAGACTGAGGCAGCAGGGTCTCAATTTCAAGGCCAACCTCAGCAACTTAAAAGAGACCCAAAGCAATTTAGTGAGACCCTGTCTCTAAATAAAATGTAAAAAAAAAATGAGCCCTTTGATGGCACACATCTGGAATCCCAGCAGCTCAGGAGGCTGAGACACTAAGCAACTCAGTGAGATCCTGTCTCTAACAAAATACAAAATCAGGCTGGGGATACGGTTCAGTTGTTGAGTGCCCCTGAGTTCAATCCCTAGTACACCCCTGCCCCCACCCAAAAAAAAGTAAAAAAGGACTGGCGATGTGGCTCAATGGTTAAGCACTTCTGGGTTTAATCCCCAGTACCAAACTAAATAAAAAAGATTCCATTGGCTTATGTATGCATAGGCATGCATATATGCACACACACGTATGTAGAGAACAATAGGCAGAATGTACAAGGTTTGTAATGATAACAAGTAATGTTATCATTCTTAGAGAAGATTGGGAGCAAAGACAACCTTATTAATCTGGAGTCTGTTCTTTGTGTGTGTGTGTGGTTCTGGGGATTGAACTCAGGGCCTACATGCAAGGCAAACACTCTACCAACTGAGCTATATCCCCAGCCCTGGAATCTGTTCTTTTCCTCTTTCAATCAACTCTATTTCTTACTCCTTTTTTTTTTTTTTTTTAAAGATAGAGAGGGGGGAGAGAGAGAAGTTTTTTTTGTAATATTTATTTTTTTTTTTAGTTTTCGGCGGATACAACATCTTTGTTTGTATGTGGTGCTGAGGATCGAACCCGGGCCGCACGCATGCCAGGCGAGCGTGCTACCACTTGAGCCACATCCCCAGCCCCTATTTCTTACTCCTTGATCAAAAAGTAGAAAGGGGGCTGGGGATGTGGCTCAAGCGGTAGCGCGTTCGCCTGGCATGCGTGCGGCCCGGGTTCGATCCTCAGCACCACATACAAGCAAGGATGTTGTGCCCGCCGATAACTAAAAAATAAATATTAAAAAATTCTCTTTACTCTCTGTCTCTCACTCTCTCTTTAAAAAAAAAAAAAAAGTAGAAAGGATCTAAAATTAAATCACAGTAATACTAACTTAGCATGGCTGGGGTTGTGGCTTAGTGGTAGAATACTTGTCTAGCATGCGTAAGGCACTGGGTTTGATACTCATCACCACATAAAAATACACAAAATATTAACTTAGCAACATAACATGCCACCATCCTAAAAGCATTTACAATGAAGTAGGAAAATAAAATACTAGAGCTAGGGCTGTAGCTCACTTATAAGAGTCCTTGCCTAGCATGTGCAGGGTCCTTAGTTCAATTCCCAGTACCACACAAAATTAACATGGAAATAATTAAGTTTAACTATAAAATTTCAAGCATAAATAACTGTAAATAAGGAACTGGGAATGTAGCTCACTGGTTTAACATCTGCCTAACATGCACAAGGCCCTGGTTTCATAACCAACAGGAGGTGGGATGGGGACAGACTGTGAATAAAAGTAACTAAGAGAGCACATAAACTTTTTGATGTCTCGAAATCCCATTTCACAGATATCCACTACCATATCAGGCTGCCCATGGTTGAAAGTCTAAACATATTTTTATAATTCTTTATATAATCTATTATTATACCAGGGTGGTATTACAGTAGTAAAATAGCCCTGGGATATTTTGACCTCCTAAAATATGTTTCAGGTCCATAATCTCTTTCCTAAGATTAAAAAAATTCTGAAAACTAAAATTTCTTTATAATTTGTCAGCAAAAACTTGTCAGTGAACTTAGTCTTTTATCATGTTTAGTGTTATCATATAGGCTTTATTGCATAGATATTAATATTAATGTATTAATTAATTAATATTATTAATTAATATTAATGTATTGGATTATGAGATGCTACTTTAGATCTGCTGAAGGTATCACATAATATTATATGTTATCCTTCCAAAGTGGAAAATTTCTAAAGTATGAAACACATTTTATCAAGGTTTTTGCTAAGAAATTATGGATGTGTATTAGATATAGTCTTTTACAAGATAAACTTCTTTGTGAAAAGTATCTATTCAGGCTGGGGATATGGCTCAAGTAGTAGCGCGCTCACCTAGCACGCGTGAGGCGCTGGGTTTGATCCTCAGCACCACATAAAAAATAAAATAAAGATATTGTGTCCACCTAAAGCTAAAGAATAAATATTAAAAAAAAAAGTATCTATTCAGACCAGATGACTTCCATAACATAGGAGGAAAAAGCTAGAAGATGGAGATGTGGTAAAAAGGAAATGTATGAATAAAAGCAGACAAAAACTGAGAGCAAGAAAACAGGGATAGAAAAAAAGAAGAGAATACCATTTTATTCAAACCATAGTCAATATCTAGGACAAACTATAAAAATAAACCTACTTGGTCACTAACACTAAACAATAAATGAAACAAATAGAAAATATTACAACCATCATCTATTTCATAAAACTTCATTGTTGTTATTGCTATGTTTTCCATTCTGGGGACTGAAACCAGGGCCTTGCTTGCTGGGAGCCATTAGCCAAGTAGGTATGACAATTTCCTTGCCAGCGTACCCCATGTTGCAGTGACATTGAATGTAGGTGACCTTGCTCAAGGACCAAGGCGGATTAGGGCGTTGCCGGTTTAGGTTCCAGGTTTAAGGTTTAAGATTATTCCTGCTGGGAATAGGGCGTATCTTGCTGCCTGAGTTCCCCTTGAGTTCTCACGGGATTTAGACAGTATATTTTGGAGATAGAAGCCCAGTGGAGGTGGATTTGGGCAGAGAACGTGGATTTCCCCAGAACGTGTTTGTAGACGGCTGGTGTGAGTTCGGGAATAAAGAGTTGCTGTTTGAATCTACAAGCTGTGTGGTGGCTCGTGATTGTGTGCCCAGCCAGACTGCGGCATTTGTGCCCAGCCAGACTGTGGCACTTGCTCATGCTAGACTTGCACTCTGTCACTGAGCTATATCCTCAGCCCTACTTAATTTTAAATATTTACAACTGTAGCCAGGTGCAGTGGTGCATGCCTATAATTCCAGCAGCTCATGAGGCAGAAGCAGGACAATTAACCAGTCTGAGGCCAGCCTCAGCAACTTAGGGAGGCTTTAAACAACTTAGTGAGACCCTCACTCAAAATAAAAACAATTAAAAAGGCTGGGGGATGTGGCTCAGTGGTTAAGTGCCCTTGGGTTTTAATCCCTGGCACACACACACCCCAAAATATACATAAGCACACACACAATTGTGAGAGACAGAGAGAGAGAGAAGGCTCAAGTGCAGGGTTGTGATATTAAAATGTCCTTCCTATTGTAGTTATATTTTTAAAAATTTTTGGAAGCCATTAGAAAGATGAGGTCTTAATTAGAAAAACAGTGCTGTGAAAACCTTGCACAGAAAATCAAGAAGAAAATGTGGAAACAAGTATTTACATAACAGTGCTGATATGAACTTGCTACAAGCTATGAGAGCTGACACATTCATCATGATGGTTCTGTTGCTTAAAGTAAGTTTAGCTTTTAATTCACTTTCATCTCACAAATATCTAGACATTTTCAGTTCTCTCTCAGTATACTTACTCACTAAGCTGAGGAAAATTTTTATATACCAAAAACATAACAAATGCTGCAGATAAGAAAATAGACACCAATATAAGGAGTGACATTCTTGCTGACCCAGCTTCTGCCCAGGCTTTTTCTGGAAGAAAGAAAAAAAGTATAATTAAGATTCACATTTTTGCCCAAAACACTGGGACATTAAATCAGTTACTTCAATTGATCTAAGGACACATTCACTAATGCAACTTTAGAATGTGAAGTCAAACATCAAAATATTTTGAGTGGTTCTCCTCTATGACTCCAAGAATGGAAAAATGTTTACATCTCCTCAAAAGGTAGTCTCTGTTATCTTAAAAATTATATGCAAGGGCTGCAGTTGTGGTTCAGTGGTAGCGCACTTGCCTAGCATGCGTAAGGAACTGGGTCTGATTCTCAGCATCACATACAAATAAATATAATAAAGGTCTATCAACAACTAAATATACATATATATATATTTTTAATTACATGCAAGATAAAAATATACAATGAGATCCAATAGAGATTCAGTAAAGAACAAACAGAAAAATGAGCAGATCAGTTTTGCCAGTTTGCAGTCAATAGTGGTAAGAGCACAATAGCTTAACACTCAGGCTCACTGGGTAAGAGGTAGAAGTGGGTGACTTAATTTTTCATTGCCTTCATTTACCATTATCACAGTATAATACCGATAACATGGTATTTTAAAATATGTGGGCTATAATTAGGATTTGTGATTTTTAGTCCCTTGAGAATGGATCCACCACACATCCCCTTCCAACTACTGGCCATGTAGCTTTCATGAAATATCTTAAACAAAAGTGCTGAACTGCCTGGACTCCTCTAATTTAGCAAATCATTTTTATAAAAGTTTATATTAAAGTATATTAGACAGGTATCATTACCTGCTCTACCCACATTCTCCTCCTCTAGAACTAACAACCTTCCCTGGTCACCCAAACGAGCCAATCTCAGCAGCCTAATCTTACCAAGTGATTCTAACATTCTCTCCTCATAAACACAGAAGGCTGTCCAGCCTAAGCTTGGACATCTGATCCAAGTGGAAACACTTCATTATTGGCTGACTATATTTTCCCCTTGAAATTTCTGAACTAAGAAAAAGAGTTATTGTTTGTAAAAGGCTAGTGAGTGTTAGGGCTTAAAGGTCAAACAGTGGAAGACATAGTCAATAACATGGTAAGGAAGACAAGAACCACAAAATGTAAGAGGTTGTAATAGAAACCCAGAAAAGAAATGAGAGATATACATAATCAAACTTGTTGATTTCTAACTTTCCACTTTCCTTGAAGCCTGGCTATATTTTATTTCTTATTCATGGATGCCACTGAAATTGTCTCATTTTTATTCTTATGACAGCTTTCTGATACTTTTAGTTGTAGATGAACACAATACCTTTATTTTGTTTATGTGGTGCTAGGGATTGAACCCAGTGCCTCATGCATGCTAAGCAAGTACTCTACCACTGAGCCACAATCCCAGCAGGACAGCTTGCCTTTTTATTTGTGTTGGTTTAAAGTGTTTCTGTTCCTTTTAACCAAAAAGTCTTAACTAAAAGACTATAATTTTTGGTTTTGTCTTGTTTTGTTTTGGTACCAGGAATTGAATTCAGGGACACTCAACCACTGAGTCACATCTGCAGCCCTTTTTTGTATTCTATTTAGAGAAAGGGTCTTACTGAGTTGCTTAGCACCGCACTTTTGCTAAGGCTGACTTTGAACTCACAAGATCCTCCTGCCTCAATTGTGTTCAACAGTAACACAAGAAAACAACTAAAAGAATGAGTGACAATTGAGGCTCTTCTTTCATGCAAACTAGCAAAAAGGGAGTGTTGGTACTTATGATTCAATAACCCTTCCATATAATTCTAATAAACCCAGAGATTAGAATTTAATTCGATTATAGTTTTTTAAAAATATTTGTTTTTTAGTTATAGAGGGACACAATATCTTTATTTTATTTATTTTTATGTGGTGCTGAGGATCAGAACCAAAGGCCTTGCAAAAAAAAAAAAAAAAAAAAAACTTGCTAGGCAAGTTTTCTACTGCTGAGCCACAACCCCAGCCCTCAATTACAGCCCTATACATAAAAGTTATAAATTTTGTTTTTATAATTTACATCTAAATTTATAGCCTACATATTTATGTCTTCTTATGCCTGCATTAAAAGCATGTGTCTTTAGCATTTATAGCTACTCTTCCTGTTATTTTATATTCATTAACTTCCAAATCTTCCATCATACTAATTCCTAGTCTGAATTATCCTATTATCTGCTTTTTCAACCCCCTTGGTCAAAGGTACTATTAGAAAAAGTGCATATGCCTTCCTAGCTTCAGTCAGGGTTATCAATGATGAATCCTTTTATAGCATTATCCTAAAAGATTATTCTAAGTCCCTTCAGGCTATTAATTCTACCTTTCTCTACCTGCAACCAATGATACTGCCTTCTACTTTAGTGAGCTCCCCAATGTCTATCTGTTCATGAAATTATCTTCCCTTGTCTGTCCTCCCTTCCTTTTCATTAACTGTCAACACACTTCACCACAGAAACTCTTTCCATTCATCCAACACATTCAGTATTTCTCTCTCTGACATGCACCTTTTCTCTTAACTTCTAATATATGTAAATCCATCCTGGAAACCCATAAATTAACCATTACCCTCTAGCAGCTCTGTGATTCTCTCCTTTCATATTAAAACATATTAGAAAGCAAAATCTTCCAACACCTACAAGATCTTAGGAATGGCTCTTACTGGTCATCTAGCCCACTTGTTCTCAACATTCAGTGTTTTCTAGAACTACCTGACCCTACCATGAAGGAAAGAAAAGATCCATTTTTCTTCAGGACGTAAGTGCACAGACTAAGACATCTTTGAAGGTCACAGAATACACTGTAACATTGTTTGAAGTAAATGCTTTCAAGGGCTTTAAATTTTTAAAAAATTAGTAAGATTTGAAAGTTGTTATCACTTTAAAATATAAATGTAAATAACTAAAATAACTACAAGATACAAACCATCAGTTTTTAAATAACACACAAAGCATGTTATAGGCAGTAGAAACATCAGCACTCCCAATCTTATTTAAAAGCTCATTCTTTAGTCTTAATCCCCTGCAACAGTGCTACCATCCAATCTACACACCCTCACTCACAGTCATCTACCCATTTTCAAGTATATCTTTCCATTTACTAAAAACTAAGACCAAACTTACAATAAACTTCTCCATAATCCCAAAAGATTTCACTATTTATTTAGATAATCCACTCTGCCTCATAGATTTTTTCTTTCCTTTTTTTATTTTCCAGATACTGGGGATTGAATTCAGGAGCACTCTACCACTTAGCCACATACCCAGCCCTATTTAGTATTTTATTTAGAGCAGGGTCTTTTGAGTTGCTTAGCGCCTTGCTGTTGCTGAGGATGGTTTTTGGTTTTTTTTTTTTAGTTGTTGATGGACCTTTATTTTATTCATTTATTTATATGTGGTGCTGAGAATTGAACCCAGTGCCTCACTCATGCTAGGCAACCCTTACCACTGAGCCCCAGCCCCAGCCCCTGAGGCTGGCTTTGAAATCATGATCCTCCTGTATTGCAAGTTCTAGACTGACCTGAGCAAATTACCAAGACCCTATCTCAAAATAAAATAAAAAAGCCAGCATTGCCAGGCGTGGTGGCAGGCATGGTGGCAGGCATGGTGGCACATGCCTGTAATCCCAGCAACTCGGGAGGCTAAGGCAGGAGGATTGTTGAGTTCAAAGCCAGCCTCAACAGATTATTAAGGCACTTGGCAACTCAGTAAGACCCTGTCTGTAAATAAAATATAAAAAAGGGCTGGGGAGTGGTCAGTGATTAAGTGCCCTGGGTTATATCCCCAGTACCAAAGCAAAAAACAAAAACAAACAAACAAACAAAAAAACGCTGGGGTCTCAGCAGTTTGGGAGGCTGAGGCAGGAGGATGGTAACTTCAAAGCCAGCCTCAGCTATTTAGCAAGGCCCTAGATAACTTTTGCTGGACCCTGTCTCTAAATAAAATACAAAAAGGGCTGGGGATGTGGCTCAGTGGTTAAGTGCCCCTGGGTTCAATCATTCTCTGGCACCTGTGGGTTTATCCCTAGTACCATAGAAATAAAATGAATGAATTCCAACATTCCATTCCTTCATCACCTCTTTCACCACTTTTTTTTTTTTCTTTCTTCAGGGCTGGGGATCAAACCCAGAGCTTTGCACAGGCTAAGCAAGCATTCTCAGCCCTATATCACCTTTTCTCTTTTTATGGTTTTTCTCTCTTGATTTTCTCCCTCCATGCCCAGCCCAGACACCATGTATCATCTGAATCAGCATCTTTGAGTGAAATTCTTATCCTTTCCTTAATATCTTTCTGATACGGTTTGAGCATAATATGAGTGTCCCCCAAGGGTCCACTGTGACTGAAGGCTTTGCCCACAGGGTGGTGCTACTGGAAGCACTGGAAACTCTGGAAGGTGGCACTTAGTGGGAGGTCCTTAGGTCACTGGTGGGGGCATTCCCTCCAGAGATAGTCTTTGCCAAAGAAATGTTACAAAAATTTGATTTTGACCCCACCCAGTCCTCTGTGCTTCCTGTCTCAAAATGCGATTGCTCATCCCCATTCAAGTTCCACCACTGACATCCTCCATGAGATTCTCTCCAGAATTGATCTGATACAAGTACCATGTGCTTAAACCTGCAAAGCTGTGAGCTAAATAAACCTTTGAACAATACTCTCTTCTAAAGGCAATAAAATAATCCAGGCAAGATAGTATACGCCTGTAATCCCAGAGGCTAAAGCAAAAGGATCTCAAATTCAAGGGTAGTTTTAGCAATTCAGTAAGACCTTCAGCAACTTAGCAAGATCCTGTCTCATAATAAAAAATAAAAAGAACTGGGGATGTTTTTCTGTGGCTAAATCCCTAGTACCAAAAAAGGGGGGGGGGGCAATAAAACCAACTTCAAGATAGTGTTTTTCAAACTTTTTATTTTATTTTTATTTTTTTGTGTAGTACTGGGGATTGAACCCAGGGACTTATGTATCCTAGGCATCTGAGGCACCTGTTCTACAGCTGAACTATATTGGTAGCCCTTTTCATTTTGAGACAGGGTCTCACTATGTTGCCCAGGTTGGCCTGGAACTTGCAATCCTCCTGCCTCAGGCTCCTGAGTAACCAGGTCCAAGTTTCTAAAACTTTATACTCTTTTTTGGTACCAGGAATTGAACCCAGAGGGACTTAACCACTGGGCCACATCTCTAGCCCCCTCCCCCCTCCTTTTCTTTTCTTTTAATTTTATTTTACTATCCATTTTGTTAAATATTTATTTTTTATTTGCAACTGGACACAATGCCTCTAATCTTTAATTTATTTACTTTTATGTGGTGCTGAGGATCAAACACAGGGCCCTGCGTGTGCTAGGCCAGTGCTCTACCACTGAGCCACAACCCCAGCCCCTCCCCTCCTTTTCTGGGATAGAGTCTTGCTAAATTGCTAGAACCTTGCTAAATTGCTGAGGCTGGCTTTGAATTTGTGATCTTCCAGCCTCAGCCTCCTGAGTCCCTGGGCCAGCCCTTTTTATTCTGACACAGGGTCTCGCTAAATTGCTTAGGGCCTCAATAAACTGCTGGTGTTGAACTTGAAATTACAGTCCTCCTGCCTCAGCCTCTTGAGTCACTGAGATTATAGACCTGTGCTACCAGGCCCAGCTCAAATTTTTCTGACTATATTTTACAATAAGCAATAATTTTTATATCATGATCTGATGCACACAAAAATCTATGTAACTGAAAAAGATTTTTTAAAATATTTTTTTTAGTTGTTGAAGGACTTTATTGTCTTTTTTTTTTAATGTGGTGCTGAGAATTGAACCCAGTTCCTCATACATGCTAGGTGAGTACACTACCACTGAGCCACAACCCCAACCCCTGAAAAAGATTTTGAAAAATAAATTGATAACTACTACAAAGCGCTGATATTTTCTATTCCATTTTTAAAATGCTCATTATCTTTTAAAAAAAATATTTATTATTTAGCTGTAGTTGGACACAATGCCTTTATTTTATTTATTTATATGTGGTGCTGAGATCAAACCCAGGGCCTCACACGTGTGCTAGGTAAGCACTCTACCGCTAAGCCACAACCCCAGCGCCTTAAATGCTCATTATTATCTATAAAATTGACTTCATACCCTTCATAGGGGTTATGAACTATTTACTAAAAAAACATAGTCCTAAGAGTTCTCTTAAATTAAAATGGAGAACTGGCTAGTTAAACAAATTAGTGAGGGCAAACAATGCAAAAGAGAGTGACATACTCCAGTCCAGACACTCTGAGACGGATAAGTTTAGAGCCTAACTGGTTCTCCCTATTGTGTGTTCCTCACCATGAAAGAATCATACTTTCAGTATTATTTCCTTGATCAAGTTTTTAAAGTAGTCCACAGTCTATTAGGCTCAGACCTTAGAGACCCGACTCACAGCAAGAAATCCATTAAATGCACCAAATATTGCAGGTAGAAGGTAAAATATTTCAAAACTACACATGACAACCCTTTGTCAAAGTTATGTAGATGTGTCATGTAATAAAATATAAATTCATTCACCGCATCATGGAATTATAGAAATATTTTATTACTGTGTATTTCTTTTTTATTTTTATTTTTTTATAGCTGTAGATAGACAGCACGCCTTTATTTTATTTATTTATTTGTTTTTTGCAGTGCTGGGGATTAAACGCAGGGCCTTAAGCATGTGAGGCAAGCCCTCTATCAACTGAGCTATATCCTCAGTCCCTATTTTATTTATTTATTTATTTAAAGTTTTAGGTGGACACAATATCTTTATTTTTTATTTATTTTCTTTTTTTTGTGGTGCTGAGGATCGAACCCAGTGCCTCATGCATTCTAGGCAGGCACTATACCAATGGGCCACAACCCCAGCCCGTTTTTATTTATTTTTATGCAGTGATAAGGATCAAACCCAGGCAAGCGCTCTGCCACCAAGCTATAGGCCCAGCCCTACTATGTCTTTCTTAAGCAAGAGTTACAAAAATTGGAGGTTGGGGTTGTGGCTCGGTGGTAGAGCGCTTGCCTAGTACATGTGAGGCACTGGGTTCAATCCTCAGCACCACATAAAACAAATAAACAAAATAAAGGCATTGTGTCAATCTACAAATAAAAAAAATTCGAAAAAAATTTATCTCTTCTTCAAAACCTTTCCTTCTCTTGAAGGCCTAGTTACCAACTGCAATTACTAAAATGCTGTCTTCAAATCCTGGAAAATCGGTTGCTAAGTAGCTACTAATGCATCAGCAAGTAAACCAAACCCCATACATGAGGTCCCCAAAATCTTTTACCTATAGACAGAACTCTAATGGTAATTAGAGAAAGAAAAGGAAAAAGGAAAAGAAAAAAACTGGGACTCATCAATAAAACAGGTTGGATCAAAAAAAAACGTCCTTGCCTAGTGTAATCTCACACCATTTAGAATAGGACCTTTATCTCCTACTATAACCCAACAGAAACCATTCATTAGTGACAATTTTATCTCTTCACTGACACACGTATAAAGGATTCACACAGACCTTTAAGTCTACTGTTTCCCAAGCCCAACATCCCCTTTCCTTCTCCCTACTTATCTAACCCCTATTCTCCACAGAGGCAGGTTTTCACATCTCTTCTTCCCGTCTTCTGAGATTTACATTCTGCAGGTCATTCCATAGCATCATAAAAAAAGTAAGTGTGCCGAATGTATTGTTCTAATAATAAGATAAATCATTTTAAAGGCACCTTGGGAGTTTCAAGGTTTTATATTCTGAATAGCTTCAGGTTAAAAAAAAAAAATACTGATCACCATCTCAAGCCAAATGAAAATCTTTCTTATGGTTACTCTCAGCAGTACTCTTCAAAACACAGTTCCTTTAATTTAGAGCAAAATTACACTTTAATAACATTTCTAAGTTTTTAAAATTTATATAAAGTTATTAGACTCCATGTCTAAAGTTGGAAAAAATACCCAAAGCTTACTGACTGTTGAAAACACTTAAAAGTTATTTTAAATTCATTAACATTTTCCATTGTACACTCTTGAAAAAAAACTCCTTAGCCATCCTACTGGTGGAACATACCAGTGTGAGGGAGCTACTGACAATTTAAAAGGTCATATGTTAGAAACACTTTAACTTAAAAGAGCTTAATCATTTCAATTGCTGAAAAGCAATGCACAACTTCATAACAAGATGGAATCAACTTAGTTTCTAGGTACTTTCTCCTTACAATAATATTTAAAGCCTAAGAAATTATAGGATGGTGTATTGGGAAAATAGCTTTGGAATGAGTGACCTTAACTTAACATTTACTTAGACCCCACTTTATATAAGCCAAGCATTATGTGAATTATTTCGTTTAATTCATGCATCAACCGATTAAACAGATACGTTATTCCCATTTCACAATTCAGACTGAGCTTTTTAAAGTTAACAAGTCCAAGGTGCCAAGTAAATAACAGAATAGGGACTCAAATCCAGGTGTTCCTGCACGAGGAAGTGGCACCTAGAAGATCAAGACCTTGCTACTAATCTGGTTGTGTGACTCTGTACGTACAAAGTCACGTACCCACCTTGGGCCTCAGTATCTTCATCTGTAAAAACAACGCAACCATTGCTAAAGTTCCTTCCAGATCTGGCTAGCATCGTTATCAACCTTGCAATCGTCAATAAGCCGGTGTTATTCCTTCTTTCAACTGAATTCAATAGACTCATCTACTAAGCGTTTGGCCTTGAGCTGAGCAGGGAGCCCAAGCCCAAGTACCCCATTCTCTTTTTCTCGTCCCTAGACGTCAGCAGACTCCCTCTTACTCTTAAAACCCCTTTCTCCTCCGGAACCCCTCCCGAAACACAGGTCTCTAGGCCAGTCCCTCAACTCCAGATGCCGGGTCCACTCACCTTTTACATAGTCTCTGCCCCCCGGCGCCGCAGGGCCCCGCGTCCCCGCGTTCCCGTCCCCCACTGGGGTCGTCTGGAGTGCTCCAGTCTGCGACCGTTCGGAAACTCTGCCTTTCGCCATGGCTGCTGCAATGGGAAGTGAAGACAACTGGGTGGTGCCGCGCCCCCTTAACAACAAATCCCCGCGCAGGCTCCGTACAACATAGAGGCGCCTCGGCCAGAGCCACTTCCGGCGCGACCGCCTCACCTGAGACAACCCCAGCCCCGCGAACACAACTACGCTCCACAGAGACCTAAGGCGACTTCACGGGCTAGGCCCCGCCCCGCCCCGCCCCCGAGCCTCGCGCGCTCGCGCTGGCCCAGTAACCACGAGACAAGTCAGAGGCCCGTCCCGCCCCATCCAGTGCCCCGCCCCACCTCGTGCCTGCGGGAAGCATGCGCAGTAGCGTTGCCGAGTCACCCGGCTGCGGCTCACGTACTGACATCTAAGACGTAGCTTTAATTATCCGGAAGTGCGATCCCAAGGACTTCAAACTCATTGTCGTGGCCTTCCGGAAGTACCTGTGAGTGATTACTTGGTGTTCTGTGGGTGAATATTCAGTCAGTTCTCTTGTAAACCAGTTTTTACAAGTTGCTATTGAATTTGGAGGGGTTATAGAATGTTTGGCCTGAAGACGGTGGAAACCATGAAACTGAGCCAAATCTACCCAAATTTTAAGAAACTAAGATTCAGGAAGAAATACAACCTATGAGGGTCACCGGGTGGCTAAATGCCTTTAGAATTCAGGTTTTCTTTTTCACAAGCAAATGCCTTGTCAACTCCCTGTCATTCCTCACTGGTAAACCCTGGTCAACTCATTACACTTAAGCTTTTCTTTTTACTGAGCCCACACAGGGCTTTTTGACAGATATGACTGGTCACACTTTACAGAGCAATTATTCAGGTCACTCGTTGGTGAGTGTATTAGAATTCCCTCTTTAAAATTTTTTTTTTCTTTAGATTTGTTTTGGTTGCTGGGCAACCTAATTGAAAGCCTTGTGCCTGCAGAGCACGTGCTCTACCTACCATTGTCCAATATCTTGGCACCTTAAAAAAGTTTAACTGATATATAAAAACATAAAAATTGTACATACTAATGGAAAATTCCCTCTTGAAAGCAATTTAGCAGCGTATATGACATATTCTGATTATTCAGTATTATACTTCTACGAAACTATCCCGTACACAAGTTGTTCGTAATTACATTTTTTTTAGTATAATGGTGAAAAAGTAGAAACACTGAAAATTCAATCCTAAAGAAAAAAAAACAACAATGGTTAAGTAAATTGTGGGAGACCCATTCAGTGGAAATGTATTGCTGTTTTCAGCGTTGGGGATTTGAATCTAGGGCCTTATGCATGCTAAGAACATGTTCTATCGCAGAGCTATACCCCAGCCCAAAATGGAACTGTTTTACATGCATATCTTTTGCATTCTTCTGTTAAGGTCCTCAGTGACCACTATAAGAGTTGTCTCCCTGTTTTATTTTGTTCATAATCTTTATTATTGTCTCCTGCTACATCTAAAATGTAAACTGTATTCAGGCCCCTGAATGATGGATGGGTCATACCCTTATGACCCCAAGAAAGAGTGCCAACACTTAAGTGAGCATTCAATAAATTTGTTGAATTTTTTTTTTTTTTTTTTGCAATGGTGAGATTTGAACCTAGAACCTCCCATATGCTATGCTTCCACTGAGGTACATCCCCATCTCTTGAATAAATTTTTGACCATAGAAAATCATGTCTGTGAAAATCTAATAATGTAGATGATGCCAATACAAAAACATTTCAAGAGATAACTAAAAAAACAGAACAGTGCTGGGAATGGTGATCCTAGTGACACAGGAGGCTGAGGCAGGAAGATCAAAAGTTTGAGGCCAGCCTCAGCAACTTAGCCAGGTCCTAAGCAACTAAATGAGACCCTGTCCCAAAATATAAAATGAAAAGGGCTGGGGATGTGACTCAGTGGTTGAGTCCCCCTGGGTTCAATTTTAAAAAAGATTATATAAGTTACATAAGTTAATAAACATGTAATTTACTGTAAAATGGATCCTCCTGAGCAAGACACAAACTGTTTTTAAAAATTTGGTATATTTTGCTATTTAAAAATTTTTAAAATGCCAGGCATGGTAGTGCATGCCTATAATCCCAGTTACCCAGGAGGCTGAGATAGGAGGATTGCAAGTGCAAGGCCCTCCTGGGCAATTTATGCCCTGCCTCAACAGAAAAAGACAAAAGACTGGGGATATAACTCATGGAAGGGTGTCCCTGAGTTCAATCCCTAGTGAACACACACACACACACACAGAAGGAATACCAGGAGGAGGACAAGAAGGAAGAAGAAGGTCGTGTTTTGGCTCAGTTTTAGAGGTTTCAGTCCATAGTCAACTAACCCTGTTGCTTTGGGGAACAGTGGGATTGCATGGCAGAGAAAGCAGTTTGCCTCATAGAGGACATGAAGCAAAGAGACAAACAGCCAGTGACCCAATATCCCTGTAAAGAGCACACCCCCAATGACCTAACTTCCTTTCACTAAGTCCTGACTCCTAAAGGTTTTACCACCTCCCAACGGGGCAATGGTAGGGGTGGGGAGACCAAACCATCAACATGTGGGCAGGGAAATTTTTAAAAATATATATATATATATATTTTTTTTTATTTGTAGATGGACACAATACCTTTATTTTATTATTTTTTAAATGTGGTACTGAAGTTTGAACCCAGTTCCTCACACAAGCTAGGCAAGTGCTCTACCACTGAGCTACAACTCCAGCCCTGAGGAACTTTTAAAATCCAAACTATAGAAGTATTAAAGCTTTAAATTTAACACATAAATCTATGAACCAGGCATGGTGGTGCATGCCTATAATCCCAGCAGTTGGGGATGTTGAGGCAGGAGGATCGCAAGTACAAAGCCAGACTCAGCAAAAGCCAAGATGCTAAGCAACTCAGTGAGACCTTGTCTCTAAATAAAATATAAAATATGGCTGGGGATGTGGTTCAGTGGTCAAGTGCCCCTGAGTTCAATCCCTGGTAATGGAAAACAAACAAACAAACCTATGAAAATACTATAAGATAAAATAGAAAAATATGGGTTTTTTTATCTTGACATAAAAAGATCTTCTTTAGTATAACCTGTAGGGTAGTCTCTTAATTTACTGTATATATAATACAGAACATAGCACTTTAACACACACCTAAAAAAATCTACTCCAGAAATAGAGTTTGCTGAATTGTTTGAAAAGAGAAACATTTGATAATTTCCTTTAGGCATTTCTGTTCTTCCTGCTTGCCAATTCCTCTCTTGTTCTCTTCCTCATATATATATATATATATATATATATATTTTTTTTTTTTTTTTTGTACCAGGGATTGGACTCAGGGGCATTCGACCACTGAGCCACATCCCCAGCCCTATTTTGTATTTTATTAGAGACAGGATCTCACTGAGTTGCTCAGCGCCTCGCTGAATTGCTGAGGCTGGCTTTGAACTCGCAATCTTCCTTCTTCTGCCTCCTGAGCTGCTGGGATTTCAGGCGTGAGCCACTGTGCCTGGCCTTTTATTATTAATAAAATTAATATTAAGAAAAAAAAATAGTCCTTTATTTTATTTAACTGTAGGTCAATAAAATACCTTTATTTTACCCATCTATATGTGGTGCTGAGGGTTAAACCCAGTGCCTCACATGTGCCATCATGGCAGAAAGGGTGTGGAATAGGAAAGCTGCTCAGCTCATAGCAGCCAGGAAGCAGAGTGTATAAGAGGAAGAGGTTGAGGATAAGAAATACCCTTCTAGTACATGTCCCCTAGTGACCTACTTCCTCCAACCATAGCAGGTCACAGTTTCTAGCATCTCCAGTAGTAGATATTCAGGATTACTCCACTGCAGAGATCATGAGAGCCCTCATGATCCAATCACTTATTAAAGGCCTCTAAACATTGCTGCACTGGGAACCCTCAACACTTGACACTTTGGGAGACAATATAGATCCAAATCATAACACATAGCAAAATATCTAATAAAAGTTGATGCACAAGCTCCTGGGTTTAATCCCCAGCAATGTACATAATGATTAATAATAATAATAATAAGAAGGAGGAGGAATACGAAGTAGTAGTAGTTGAAAAACATTCTTGAGAATCTAAAATTAGTGTTAGTGGTTAGAGATGTAACTCAATGGGTAAAATACTTGCCTAGTATATGCAAGGCCCTGAGTTTGATTCCTAACACTAGAAATGAATAAACAAAGTTAATATTAGAATAAAGAAATCATTTGTTAACATATGCTATATAGAAAGAAAAATTAAGCCAATTGTGGTGACACACACTTGTAATCTCAGTGGCTTATAAGGTTAAGGCAGGAGGATTACAAGTTCGAAGTCAACCTAGCAACTTAGCAAGACCCTGTCTCAAAATAAGAAGGGCTGGGGATGTAGCTCAACGGTAGAGTGCCCCTGGGTTTGATCCCCAGTACTGTGAACGAACATAATAAGCCAATATGAGGTTTTTGACTTCTGGCCATGACAAAGCAATGTTCTCTCACTGCAGACAATTAAAAACCTGGTCAAAATATCTGAAACAGCTGTCTTCAGATAATGAATTAAAATATCCAGTCAAGGAATGATCCTTGAGAGAAGAGAAACAAGGTTAGTCTGACGCTCACCCTCACTTTCTGTCTGGGGGCACTTTCTGGAGCAGAACACAAAGAAGAATTGACCAAAGGGAACACAGTGCTATTACTGAAACAAGAAAAAAAGAGATTATAGACCACGGCAACAAATATGGCTGAAATTCACAGTGCAGAATCCTAAAGAAGAAACATCTTTAAAAAGCGAGGTGGTAGGGATGGGTCTTCTTGGATAGTTGGTTAAAAATATTCACAATCCAGGTAAAATTACATGAAGTAGAGCAGTAAATGAATGCAGAGAATAACAAGCCCAGTACTGGAAAGCTGTGAGCTGAATGAAGATTCCAGAGCTGGCATTATGAGTAGAAGACATTCAAACTCTAATCAGCCAGAGTGTCCCCTAAGAGCTCCCATGTTAATGCAGGGATATTCAGAGGTGATTAGATTATGAGAGATGTGACCTAATCAGTTCATCCTAGTATGACTAAACTAACTGGATGGTATCTATAGGCAAATGGGGCATGGCTAGAGGAGGAGAGTAACTGGAGTGATGCCCCAGAAAGGTTTATCTTCCCTGTGGCCCCTGCTTCCTGACCACCATGAAAAATTGGAGCATGACTACTCCTCCACACCCTTCCACCCTGATGTCCTTCCTCGTTTTGGGCCCAAAGCAATGGAGTTGGCCAACATGGACTGAACCTCTGAAACTATGAGCCAAAATATACTTTTCCTTCCTTAAGTTGTTCTTTTCAATTATTTTGGTCACAGTGACAGATATCTAACACATTGGCTCACAAGGAAAGCAGTTTGCTCCACCATATGGTCCTGTGGATGTGAAGCCTTTGCCAGAAGCCCAAAGTAAGGGGGCCACTAGATCTTGATTGGAACCTCCAGAACTGTGAGCTTAAATAAACCCTTCATTTTATAAATGAATTATTTCAGTTATTTCATTATAGCAATGGGAAGCTACCATTAACTTACCATTATTAACTACCAGGATTTTTAGTACTCAGCATGTAGTCATATTTGTGGCTGATTTATTATTATTTTCCAATAACACAAACCAAAATCAGCAAAGGGAAAGACACAAAGTTCAGAGGAAACCAGGCTTGATCTTCCAAGAATTCTAGTGAAATCATATAGGACATGCTTCATTCCTCTTGCAAAAAGTTGCAACTACATGTCTACTGGGAAGCTCATTAAACTTCATACCCAAGTTTTTTTAATATTTATTTTTTAGTTATAGGTGGATACAATATTTTATTTTTATGTGGTGTTGAGGATCAAACCCAGTACTTCTCCCATACTAGACAAGTACTCTACCTCTGAGCCAGAATCAGCCCCATACCCAAGTTTTTTATCGGGAGCTGATCATATAGGCCCTCTCAGGTAGCATGTACTAAAATTCCAGACTTCCACAAGGAAAGCAGTTCTTTAGTATAAGCCATATTTTTTATACACAATTTGGTCACAATGAGCCACTCTTACCAGTATGGGGATGGTTGGAACACCTGAAATCCAAAATCCAAGTTCGTAGATGCCAGCCAAGGTACTTTGAAAGCAGATCTTTCTTTATTGTTTTAGTTGTAGATGGATACAGTAACTTTATTATTTATTTTTATGCAGTGCTGATGATCAAACCCAAACCCAGTGCCTCACACATGCTAGGGGAGCACTCTACCACTGCACAACCCCAGCCCTGAAAGTAGATCTTTCTTTTTTTTTTTTTTTTTAATTTTTTAATATTTTATTTTTTAGTTTTTGGCGAACACAGCATCTTTGTTTTTGTATGTGGTGCTGAGGATTGAACCCGGGCCACACGCATGCCAGGCGAGCGCGCTACCGCTTGAGCCACATCCCCAGCTCGAAAGTAGATCTTTCTGTGGATAACAGGCCCAGGCCTGCCACATTAATTCTTTTTTTTTTTTTTTTTTGTACACTAGCTGACAAGAGGAAGTCCAGCTCAAAGCAGATTTCTAAACAAACCAAGAAAAGATGAGAAGAGTGTCCACACGGAGCAATGATGGCACTAACCTGGTACAAGAAAACAGAAAAAAACTAGATGAAAAATACATCTACATAGGGCAACCTGTGCGTGGTGTTCAAGTGGGAAAAGGTATCTGTGCAGGAGAGAAAAGATGAAGCAATAAGGGATTGGTTACAAACTTGCAGGTGGATTAAAAAATAAGTAACAATATTAAGAGTAATGGGAACCTGGAATTTTCTTACCATTAAAGAATTAGAAACTTAAAAGGGAGAAAAGTAAAATGAAACCTATGATGTTGGACTGAAATTGGAGGGACAGCCAGGCATGGTGGCACACATTTATAATCTCAGCAACTAAGGAGGCTGAGGCAGGAGGAGGGCAAGTTTGAGGCCAGTGTTGGCAACTTAGCGAGAACCTATCTCAAAGTAAAAGTGAAAATGGGCTGGGGGTGTAACTCAGTGGTACAGCACCTCTGGGTTCAATCTGCAGTACCATTAAAAACAACAACAACATAGAATGTAAGAGCCTGGAGTTTAGTTCAAGCTCTATCCAATAAATCTCTGATCCCAAGAATAAAGCGTTTAATTATTCAGGTTTTTTTGTTTGTTTGTTTTGGTGGTGGGGCATTGTACTGGGGATTGAACTCAGGGTCTTGTGCACGTGAGGCACTTACTCTAACAATTGAGATCTAGCAGCATCCCCACTATTCAGGTTCTTATTACTTTATTTTTGTTGAACATAAGATTTTTTGGTGGGGAAGTATAGCAGGGATTAAACCCAGACGTGCTTTAACACTGAGCTACATTCCCAGCCCCATTTATTTATTTAGTGGTACTAGGGATTGAACCCAGGGACTTGTGCATGTGAGGCAAGCGCTCTACCAACTGAGCTATAGCCCAGCCCCATTATTTTTTATTTTGAGACAGGATCTTTCTTGGTTGTTTAGGGCCTCACTAAATTGCTAAGGCTGGCTTCAAACTTGCGATCCTCCTGTCCAGCCTGTGGAATCCTTGGGATTACAGGCATGTGCCACCACACTCAGCTGAACATAAGATTTTTATATGAGGCATATGCAAGACAAACCTAGATTGAACAAAGTTCCTTGTACACTGAAAGCAAAAGAAATTAAGAATATGATTTTGGATGGGTGAATGGATGGATGAATATAAGTGTGAGTGAATATGTAGACAGCCCTAGGGATAGTGAGATTTAAGAGCAATGATCATACTTAATGTCAAAGTCTTGGTTTCTAAATAATAATCTCTACTGAAAAGAAAGGACTTGCAGAAAAGGCTGATTACAGGACTGGTATATGAGGAAATTCAAGATAAAACTGGAACATTTTGTACAAGAAACAGGGAAGTGCTCAAAGACAAAACAAAAGGACTCCAGAGCCAGATGGAAGAGGCTTCAGTGGCCAAATAGGGTACAATTTGGGCTGTAAAAATCATTAACAGACTCTAATTGATTGAGTAAAATATGAAATCATGAATTTGAATTAACTCAAGATAGGTCAAAGGCCTAAATGTCAGACCTAAAAATATGAAATTCTTAGGAGATAACTGTAAGGATGGCCTTATGGCTGAGCCTAAGCAACTCCACTTTAAGAACTCCAGTTTGAAACCTGAAGTCTCATCAGGCTCATCAGGTATGGCCCTCAGGCACAAACAAGTCACTTCCCCTACCCTGGTTAACTCAGAGTGAAGCCTGTGGCAGGCTGTCTTCACCTGATAAAAGGGAAAGGTGCCTGATAAAAGAGAAAGTTGAAAAGATCAGGGTGGGGACCACCAGACCAGATGTTTTAACCCCAGGGTAAATGATGTCACTGAGAAATCCATTGGTAGCTAATAAGGATTGAAAGAGGGGTCAAAAGCCCCAAAATTTAATATAAATAATAGAGCAAATGAACAGACTTTCAACCAGCCGACACTGATCCACACAAGCCTGAGAGTCTGATGAGGACCTAGACTGACATCCCAACCATTCTCATCTGCTTGAACCTGTGTTGTTCTCATCACTCTCTAACTCTACAGCCACATATTGACTCTGGTGAGAGCCACAACTTCTCCCTAGGACCACCTCCTCAGCCTGCCATCAGCTCCACCCCAGGAGAAGGCTGCCTTGGTTCTGGACCTGGTCACAGTGTTCTGAATGAGTGTGCATCTGCTGGACTTAAAGCCTAAGGCTTGAGACTTTTGATCTGACACTTGAACTTAGCATGCAGAGGGAATGTCTGTCATTAGCCTGTCATGGTTAAATGTGTGTGTAGTGCTTAGAATTAATCTAGAATTGTTTGCTGTGAATTGTCTATTGCAGTGCCTAGCATTAAGGATTGTTGTTTTCTTGATTAAGAGCCTATAGAGTGAAATTGTATTGAGTGATTTGATGAATAAAGCATTGAAAAGGGCAAAAACATGTGGACATTCTTTATTTCTTCCCCTCAACTGCATAATTCACACCTTTTGCCCATAGTGACAATAACATAGGGGAAAATCTTTATAAAATTGGTTTAGGGGGACTGGGACTCTGGCTCAGTGGTAGAGCACTCTCCTAGCATGTGTGAGGCACTGTGTTTGAGCCTCAGCACCACATAAAAGATAAATAAATAAAGGTACTGTCCATCTACAACTAAAAAATAAAGATTTTAAAAATATTTTCAGTTACAGATGGACACAATACATTTGTTTTATTTGTTTGTTTTTTATGTGGTGCTGAGGATTGAACCAGTGCCTCACATGTGCTAGGCAAGTGCTATACCACTGAGCCACAACCCCAGCTCCAAGATATTTTTTTTAAAAATTGGATTTAGCAATGATTTCTTGGATGTAACAACATAAGCTCAGGCGATAAGGCCCCCTCCCCCCGAAAAAAAAAGAAAAAGAAAACAAAAAAATTGGACTTCTTCAAAATTAAACTTTTGAACTTCAAATGACACTGTCAAGAGAATGAAAAGACAATTTACAGAATGAGAGAAAATACTTGCAAACCATTTGATAAGAAAATACAGAATAAATTTTAAAAAACTCATAATTCAACAATGAAAAGAAACATACCCCGATTTTACAAGAGGAAAAGGATTTGGATAGTTACTCAAGAAAAAAGCACAAATGAAATTAAGCACATGACAAATTCTCAACATCATTGTCATAAGGGAAATATAAATCAAAACCAAATGAGTGATCTAGAGCACTTGCAGAACATGAACAAGGCCCTAGCTTTCCTCTCCAGCATAACATTGCAAAAGAAAAGAAAGAAAGAAAAGCAAAAAAGAAAAGAAAAATTTAAGGGGGCTGGGGATATGGCTTAATAGTAAAGTGCTTGTCTAGCATGTGTGAGGCCCTGCCTGAGTTCAATCCCCAGAACCCGCCCCCCCAAAATAAAAAAAGCTCTCTCTGATTTCCAACATGTGAGGACTCAGCAAGAAAGTGGCCATCTGCAAATCTAAAAGAGGGCCTTTGTGGGAGACCAACCTCTGAATGTGACTGAGTTAACTCCCCTGCTAGGCCATGTGGCACCTGTGCTGCTAGACTGCCTGGCTCTTTTAGGGTTCCAGTGACTGTCTTCGTTCCAGGGAGGCCATGTATTGCTACAGCCCCATGGGTGGAGCTATGCTCATCTGTTCTTTTGTAATATAACCCCTTCCCCTGTTTAGGATAGAATGTTCCATGGAAGTGCCTTGAGTGTGTCCCCCTTTCTTACTGTGCCCTTGGGTGTGGCCTACCTAGATGTTAGTCAACCTGCTGACAGTGGACATCATGAAGATAGATTCAGCCCCCTGAAACCTGACCCCTTGCCTCATTTGAATAGCTTCTCCTCAATAAAAGGGGTCAGCGTGTACTCTCTCTCTTTTCCTGCAGACCCTTAAGGTCAGAGGAGCCATCACAGCGACCCCAAAGAAAAAGGTATTTGTGTCTCTTGTGTGGTTATTTCGTGCAGCCCAATTGGCCCAGTTTACCTGGAGTGACCCCTGAGCCTTTTAGTCGTGAGAACAGAAACCCGGCAGGCCCTCACCAGAACCCTCTTATGCCAGCACCCTGATCTCAGCCTCCAGAACTGCCATGACGAGTCCTAGGATTCTACTCCATGTCACCTCCCAAGACTGCTCGCTGCCCCTCCTGTTTCCTCTTAATGCCCAAGGCTCTTGCCTGGAGGACCACAGTGGCATCCCCCTGCCTCAAGTTATCTTTCCCATGCAACATGAACTGCTATCAGATTCTTGAAATGTAACATATTTTGGGCTTCAACCTTGAAATAAAGAACTTCCATCTCTTGTATAAGTTATCCCACCCCAGGTATTTTAGACCTCCAACTTCAAATTTCTAGTCTTTCTTGTAGGCACGTGACCCAGAGGCCAGGCCTATGGTGATGCTGTAGAAGGTCCATTTTCATGGCCGTGGTGGCAACAGAGCTCCCCAACACATCAGCAGTAGCCAGGTTGAGACGGGTGTAATGTTGGTGCGCAGCAGAGTGAGCTGCTGGCATTTGGCATTCAACCACTGCTCTGTAGCATTTCAGGGGGCTGCACTTGGAAGCTTAATTTCAAGTCTGGGTTTCTCCAGTTCTTCCAGTTTGTGAGTAACATATCCTTGACTAAACAAATCCCTTTTCTGCTTACAAAACAACAAATGAGAGGGCTGGGGTTGTAGCTGAGTAATAGAGCATTTGCCTGGCACATGTGAGGCACTGTATTCCCCTCAGCACCACATAAAAATAAATAAATAAATAAAGTTTTTTAAAAATTAGATGTCATTTCATACCCTCTGGGATAGTTGAAATTGAAAAAATGGACAAAACATATTCTGGCAAAGAGACAGTGAAATTGTAAACTCACATTTGCTGGTAAGATTTTTTTGTTTTAATTACTGGGGATTGAACCCAATGGCACTTGACCTCTGCTGTTTATTAATTAATTAAATTAATTTTTGAGACAAGGTCTCAAGAGAGTCTCACTAAGTTGCTAAGGCTGGCTTTGAACTTGTGATCCTCCTGCCTCAGCCTCCCGAGTCACTGGGATTACAGGCTTGCATCAACATACCTGGCTGCTGGTGGTGTAGCTGCTTTTAAAATGGTGTATCTGCTTTTAAAAACTGTGGTAGTTCCTCAAGAGATTAACCCTAGGATTACCATACGGCCTAGTAGTTCGATTTCCATGCATAAACCCAAGAGAAATAAAAACATATTTCTAATACAAATATTTGCACACTGATCATCAGCATTATTCATAATAGCAAAAAAGTGAAAATGACCAAGTTGTCCGTGAACTGATGAATGGATAAAAAATGTGGTATGTTTACATAATGGAATATTATTCAGCCATAAACATGAATAAATATCGATTGATGCTACAATAAGGATGAACCTCAAAAACAGCATACTAAGTGAAGGAAGTTAGAATCAAAAGTTGACAAATTACAATTCCATCAAGATGAGTTGTCTAGAATAAGAAATCTACAAGAATGTTAGTTACCCATTGCCAGAGGTTGAATGATGGGGTGAATGGAAAATGATTAATGGTTACAGAGATTCATTTGGGGGGTGATGAAAATAATCTTGAATTGGATAGTGGTGATGGTAGCACAATTTTGTTAATATATTGAAAAGCCAACTGAATTATTTTACATTTAAATATTGTGAATGTTTTAAATCTCAATAAAAATAAAAGATGCATTCCTTAAAAAACAAAAGTACTAAAACTAACAAAGGATAAAGATTCTAAGTAAACCTGTGTCTATTGAAGAAATTGTATTTTATTTTAAAATGCCTTTCCATAAAAAAGTTGCATGACCCAAATGGCTTCACTGGTGAATTCTCTGATTTTATTTACAGGGTTATAATTTGGTCTTAAAGGATATGCTTAGTATGTTAGAGGCCATGGTTTCAATTCCTACCACCAAATATATATGTGTATTTGTGTGTATTTTTTTTTTAATATTTATTTTTTAGTTTTCGGAGGACACAGCATCTTTGTTTGTTTGTGGTGCTGAGGATCAAACCCAGGCTGCACGCATGCTAGGCAAGCACGCTACCGCTTGAGCCACATCCCCAGCCCCTGTATTTACTTATTTTTTTTTAATACGAACTATCACAGAAAGTAAAAGAGGAGGGAGTACTTTCATCTAATTTTGCGTCCAGCATTGCCCTGATTTTAAGGCTAAATGAAAATAAAGACACTATAAGAAAAAATATATATGTACCCATTGTACCCATATCTCTTACAAATACAAAACATTTTAACTACACATTAGCATATCAAACACATTGCACATATAATATACACTCTGGCCAAGTTGTATTTAAATAAAGAATAAAAATTTAGTTCAATCTTTGTAAAAAAAAAAAAAATCCAGTTTAATATTCCCGGATGGAAATTCTTTTCAACAAAAGAACTGGATATCCAAAAATAATCTCAATCCTTATCTTACATCATTAGCAAAAAATTAATTTGAGATAGATCATAGCTCTAAATGTAATTGTTAAAAACAATAATTCATCTAGAGGAAAACATCCTTTCGATCTAGGGATAAAAAGATCTAGAACACTGAACATGAAAGGAAAAAAGAAAAGTGGTTTCTCAGGGAGTCAGAGAGGGAGGATGTTGTCCTAAAAATAGATCAGAATGTGGTGACCCAAGTTAGGAATTTAGAACTAGTTTTTAAGTCTTCTGTGTTCCAGCAGCTGTCAGACAAGGCAGACCAGAAGCCAGTGGGATCAGATCCCTGGAAACCAACTGGTGAAATTGCACAGAAGTAGGCTATTGATGCATGATAGGCAGTGTTGGCACCTTCAAATACTGGCACAGCAGTGAGTTCTGTCCCCATACTGCAAGGGGAAAGGCCTGGACTCCAGTCAAGGGCAACCATCCAGGCCAGATTCTCTGGATTGACATCACTTGTGTGCCAAAAGAATGCAGACAGCTTTGACTGCCTTTTCATTTGTGCTGGGTGGAGAGAGGATTAGAGAAGAGTCCAAATTTTAAGGCTTTGAGGCTTGGCCCTCTGGACTATTTCTCTGTGTGCTGCTATCTGCCCAGGCCAGCAAAAAGTCTTGATCTCTCAAGAGTCAGATTATCAGAACCAAGAATATGATAACCTTTTCAAAATAATAACTGCATTTTTAATTTTTTTTAAAACAGGATATGTCTTCAATCCTCATTATATTTTATGATATATT